TCTCTTTTTCTTTTCCAGAAAATCTGCTTCTATAGCAACTGTAATAGGCAGGGTTTGTGGGAAATGTAGTCTGATAAATGCTTATAAATGTTTATCTATGTCTTACTGTATAATTTTACAATTTTATACAGAAGTTTGAAAATCTCATCTATTCCAATTAATACAGTACAGGTGGTATTAAATATGCAGTACATTATGGTGCAGGAACACAAATTCTTAATGTCTGCTTGATAAACCTAAAAAAACAACAACTTAAGAACAGAGAAGAAGTATGAAGAATGCTTCAGGACACATCTTCTCCATTAGGTAACAGAGGGTTGACAGTCCAAGTTAAACACATAATATGACTGTTCAACCATTTATTATATTTTAGGTCATCCAGAGATTTTTGGTAGTTTTTTTTCCATAGGTTGTGAACATTGTGAGTATCATGACAGAGTCAATTAACGGATAAAGATGCTGTTATACTGAAACCTCTAAACTCTTATCTTCAGCAGATCCCATTAAAAGACCAAAGCCAATAATGTGCTTATCCGTCTGTCAGTATCTTCTGTACTTCAGTATCTGTGGCATTCCAGTCCTAAGCCTGTTTGTTCCACAGAAGACATAAGGCTTTAAAAACAGCCCACAAATATATTGTTTCATTTTTAATGATAGCTCAGTAATTTCCTAAGCCAGCTGGAGACTGTAGTGTCCAATAAATGTTACTCAGGCAAGAGTAAATATGGATTGGGATATTTTTCCACTGCAGACTAATACATACCTGATATTACTGTATTATTGTAGCAGGAAGTGTGTGTGTGTGTGTGTGTGTGTGTGTGTGCAATTTACTAAAAATAAACTGCAGTGACTGTGTTCATCATAACGAAGGAACATGTCACCCAGTCCCAGTGCAACAGTGTGGCTCATTGATGAAAGGCTCTGGCACAAAGAAATAAGCCAGGATTTAGCTACTCAAGCAAAACTCAATATAACATCATTGTTAAATTTGGTCATTTGATGGGATTTGTTTACAATATGATAAAAGACATCGGCAACGTTATCTTTTAAAACTGTGTCGGAATAAAATGATCAGCAAGGGTCTATTGTGTATTGTGGAGAAAATGCAGTAAATCTTGTAAAGACAAAACTGCTATAAACTCATGACAACTTGGCCTCTTTACATTTCAAGGTTTATATTAATCACACAATCACTTTGAAAACATTCATTGCCAGTTAAGGTGCATTAACCTATGTTGGGCTAACAAAGTCTATTTAATGGCCACCTTCAATAAGTGAATCAAAGCCATGCATCCTGTTTTATAATGTGCATTTTTCTAGTGTTTCCCTTGAGGTGATCTGCTGCAAATGACAGGGCTGTTAAGGGCTTTTTAAGGGATGACTTTTGACTGAAACCTGAATGATTTGCTGCTGGAAGTCTTGGTTAAATATAGCTAAAACGACAAGTCTATGACAGTTGACCATAAAGACAGCAGGGTATCAACGTGGGACAGTAAAAAGAGATGTAGGAAAGGAGAGAGAGTGTGGCAGACAATGCAGCAGACAACAATAAACTGTGCCAAGAAAAAAGATAGACAAGAGCCAGAAACAAATGACATCTGAGATGACAGGATCGCACAGTCGCCTAGCACAACCCTTCCTTCCAAATCCAAGCCTACCTGCCCTGCTATGTATGTGCATTGTGTGCTCCCCAATGCTCTGGGCAGACCTCTGACAGAAAGTGCTTGACTGTCAATTTCAGGAGGTTTCACTTTATTTATAATTATAATTATGCCTGATGCCCAATGATGGTAGTCTGGTTCTTAGCTGCTTGACACACTTTGATTTCTGTAATCTCATGGCACACGTTGGCATCAGTGGTTTGGTACTGTTGGTACCCTCTTGCTTAAAAAAATAAAAAGGACAGTTCTCTCTGAAATAGGTTAAAACTAACAAAAGTTACTGGAATAGACTATTCAGACATGTTACTTTTGATTTGTGATGCAACATATTTTTAATAATACAGCAGTTGAAAACAACATGGGCATAAATACATTTAACCTAATATTTAGCAAAACACTCTTTTGGGGCAATCACTTGCAATCAGATCTTTTCAGTAGCTCTTCATGAGATCTGTACACTTTTCAGCTGGCAGTTTTTGAGCAGACTGCTCCAGTTCTCAAGTTTGATGGGTGCCTTATCTTTCTTCTGTGAACATAGTGCTGATGTGACTTTCAAAAAGCTCTCACATTGTTTAATCTGTCCAAAGAGCATTCTCCTAGAGGCACTGTGGCTTGCCAACCTGCATTTTAACTCCAGTTTTATATGCATCTTTTTCAACCATGAGCTCTTCCTGGGCTGCCTTTCTAGAATCTTACTTAACATTTAGAAGTGTGACTGAACACTACGGTACCTTGGAACTTGGCTTGTATCCGTTTTGAGGTTTTCCACCATTTATACCATGAATCTTCTTAATAATAATTTTAAAATAATATTAGCAACTCTGGTCACAGGAACATCAGCTGCTTGAAGATGTCTTTACTTTAACCCTGCTTCAGCTCTCTCTTCAGTGTGGTGCACACAATGATGCTAAACAGCACAGTGATATCTTTTCTCCCTTTAAACAGGCTGAATGATTGATCAGAAGAGTGAAGACACCTGTAATGCTAATTGAAACTAACAGTCTTCTTGAAATATCACTTATTTATTAGCACTTCTAGAGGGTGTCAGTAATTCTGTTCAGGCCATTTTTAAAAAATCTTGGTAGAATAGACAAAAATTCAGCTCTTCTCACAGCTTCTTTGTTTTATTCTGTGGCAAAAGGCATGTAGGTTTGCATGACAAAGCTTTTATCATCTACAACTTACAAGAAACTGTAAAAGTCTTGTAAATGTTGTAAGCAATGAAAAAACTCATTTTAATCCAGCAATGATTCTTAAAATCCTATTTCATATTTAAGCTTCATCTGGCATTGAAGTCCTATGATTTGCTTGTATTCAATGCAATTCAACATGTTCTGATAATGTTCTTGACTGAAATCTCATTATTTAAATAGCTGGGGAGTCATTGGCATCTCTTTGTCCTCTTTCTACAATGTTAACATTATCTCACTAAATCAGAAAACATATATAGTGTAAGATATAATGTATACTAATTTGCTAGTTAGTGTTTGTGTGCGTGTGACTTACCGAACCACTCCTGATGTGTTCCTGAGAACAGAGGCAGCAAAACTCTGGGTGACACCCACCAGACTGGTCCCATCCACCTCCACAATCTGGTCATTCACCTTGATTCTGACACACAAAGAAATAAAAGCATAATTCAACACTTTGTACAAGCACCACTGTCTTTGATTTACTGGTGATTCTGGTGTTTTGTTCTAATCTTCTACATTTGTCTGCTCATGTGATCTGAAAGTTATTGATACTGATAGGACACAATGCCCTCCTCAAAAGCAACTGTAGTCTACACAAATAAACATCAAAAAACATGTCTGATGGAGGAAAAGTATTACAAGAGGCAAAAGGGACAAACAAACTGACCTATCATGAATATTCATATTATTTTCAAAATTAAAATAATGACAAACTTTCTTGCCATCACAAAAATAGCTCCAGACGATGGCCTAACCAAGGGACAGAAGAGATGAGGCTCAAAACAAAGTAAGAGGGCAAACAAGGACATGGAGGGCAGCTGTCTCTTCACCCTGGGCCACAACACAGTTGGCATTTCTGGACTAGATTAGAGGTCAGCTACGCTTCTGACCTGAAATAAAACTCCCAATTATCCACAATTCATGACAGGGAAACTGTAAACAAATCACTTAAAAGAGATGTACTCTCTATGCTATTTAAATGTGCTTGAAAATCTGCATTATAAACCAGTTTTGTAGAATTCTACATAGTGCATGAATAAAACAAAAACTAGCACTCATTATTTTTCAACAAAATTGCTCTAATACTTAACTGTTGGAAGGCAACACAAATATATAATTCTTATCTACAACAAACCTCTCTGGTCCACTGTAAAGGCCCTGCTTCTATTATATAATATAACAATGCAAGAAGCCTACAAAAATCACAGGACCTCTACCAACCTTTAATATCTATGAACACACAACCTAATAGCACCCTAATCTTATGCAATTTTCACATTTTTATTGCATAAATCCAATCAAACCAACACACACTGTCTCACACACAATTTCCAAATCTAATGAAATATGTTAACACAAGCTACAATACTTGGTGCAAATGGTTATGAAAGCAGGAATCTTCACATCAGTCTTGCAACTTACCGATGAAAAGCTTGTAACAAACCTTTTATTATACATGATGCAACTATTAACTAAAAAATAATAAAATTATGAGGATTAGATTGCAACCTTGATCTACAATTACGCTTCCATAAACAGATTAAGAAGTGGTCAAGGTCAATTTAGCAAAGGCTGAAATGCCCTTTTTTCCTTCAAAAACACTGGACACTTACAGTACAATGCCCAACTCAACAGCATTTCCTTGCCGCAAAACTTCTGCAAACTGCATAAAAAAATCCTGCAAACTTGATCTGTGACAGCTAATGTACATCCACAGCTGCAGTAACCACTGTCCAGCTCCTTTCTCACTCTGTTACAACATACAGCAGCTGCAGAGCAGGAATTAATAGGACTGTGAAAACCAACACATCCATCAGGTAGACAGAAAGTGAGCTGTTTGTCAGACTGTCAGCGGCTCAGCCTCTGTTCTGACCTTCGTTGCTTCTAACATCTTAATTTGGCCTCTTGTGGCTAATGTACAGCTGTCACACAAAAACTGGGGGAAAAACACAAACTGATAACAAGGGGAAAATGACAGTTAATGCAAGTAAACCAAAATGCGCACACACACATGCAGTTGTACCTGTAACTTATCTTGCCCAAAAACACACACACACATCTAGGGTCATCACCACTAGACCGCCTGAGATGACCACCTGGCCAGTTTAACATACAAATTAACATCACACACACAGACACCCGGTGTAGATCACATTCCAGCAGGGAGGTGTGATCTCCTGCTCACCAAATGACCAGACATCCACATTTCCCCCTTTTTGTCCTATCAGGACAATTCCTGCAAAAACTTAAGCCTGTACAATCTGTTATTCAGAGAGCAGTACCACTGTCTCAGGAGTTTCAGTAGCAACCTATGAAAAACTTAGATAAGCAACATAAGAAATAATAAATGAAAATAAATGACAATAAACAAAAGAAATAATAAATGAGAATAAATGACAATAAACAAAACTGTGATGCGGTCTTTCTTCTACTTTAAAAAACATCAAGAAAATGCATTTTCTCTCCATCCCCAATTCTGTTTGTGGAAAGGTCAGTGGCAAATGAGATCAGAGTTGAAACTGAGTGATCTGTAAATGGAGTCTTTTCACAGAAATTCTAAGCAGTCAATTTGAGTGATGACAACACAGGGACAACAACACAATAGTCTACAGTACATCAGATGGATTTCACTGTGTGTGTTGGCAGATACATTTTTCTTTTATAAATTTGCATCATGACAGTGAGCAGGTTAAACAACCCAAATATTTTCTTATGCAAAAGTTGTACTGTACAAGCCAAAGGTGTGTTCTAGTTAAATAATACTTAACAAACAGCAGCTACTACTTTGGATATAGTAAGAGAATTGAAAAGCAGTTATGTTTGTTCAGTTTATACAAATGAGAAACGTGTGTTTTAGCACAGCCTTCCTTCCTCTGATCTTTTCAACATTTCACACTTACATCTCCTACTCACTGACAGAAATGAGACTTTTTGGAGTCAGGACAACTGTCACCTTAGGAAAAGATCAACTTCTCACTTTTGATTGCGCTTTCTTTTTCCCTACTCGCTACTCCTCTCCCCCCATCTGCTCACTACATTTGAACTAATCCCACTCTCATGTGGTCCTGAAAATGACAGCCTTGGCTGCAACATAAAAGAAAAAATAATCCCTGAGGAAAACACACCTACCACAAACAAACCCAGTGTAATAGAGTTTCCAGTGTGTGTGGATCGCTTACGTTACTTACTCTCATATTGCACTGAATGGAGGTGCCTATCATTTTTTAAATGTGTTTATTGGGGAACCTGTAATGCACACATACACTAATAAGCAGAAGCTGGTGCTTTAGTGGCAGACATTGCAGCTCGCCTGCTGGGGAAGCTGTCATCTCCTCCTCTACCCTTGCCTGAGTGCTTAACCTGCACTGTTTGTGCTTAATGCACAGACACACACCGTGCACACAGTCTCCCCCTCACAACCTAGACAGGAACAGCATCCTGGGACATACTGTAGATAGAGACACTGAAGCCTTTGCAAAACAATCTCTTACTTTATACCAGCTCTTGCAAAGTGACACAGAATACAAGAGATAAAATACACTTTAACACAACATACAAGTCACACAGGACACACACCTACACACCTATAGCCCTGTGTGACACTTCATGTCTCAGACTATGCCTGCTCCAGTGGATGTAATCTGAAAACCTACTGTTAAATCTGACAGGTGCAGAGCATGACTGTGTGTGTTAGGCGTGTCTGTGTGGGAGAGGTGGCGGTAAAACAAACCAGCGGAATAACTGTTGTGTGCGTTTAGATACAATAAGTGAATCTTTGGTCCTGCACATGCTGAACTTTCAAACGTTGCCATCTGCTTTAATGCGTCTCCAGTCCAGACCGAGCTATCTTTCAATAATATGTGTGATATCCTCTAAGAAATCAGCTCTCACCTGCCGTCTCTTTCAGCAGCTCCACCCTCAATAACAGTCTTTACAAAGATGCCCAGTTTCTCCAGGCCTGCGTCAGCACCAACACCCATCCCGATGATACTGATCCCCAGGCCGTCTTCATCTAGAAGCAAACAGAACAGACAATTTAATTGTGAATGTGTGTCTCCAAAAGTGTTTGGCATGACAAAGTAGTATTAAGGGACTCTTTCCTAAGTTTCCAGTGAGCTTGAATTCAATTAATGAACCCCAAAAGTGAAGAGGCATTTATTATAAGGATGGTGGCCTTCATATAAATAGCTACTGTGCTAGATGGGGCAGTCCTGTGCAGAGTAGAATCCTTCCATCTCCATTCTGCATTAATAATTCACAAGTTATTAGGTTACATAACAGGGAAGGGATGGTGAAATCTTACAATGTAAAGTCACTCTGTTTTAAGCCCTTGGCAATATTGGATTTCAACACAGGAAAACCTCATCAGGAAGGTGCAATATCACCTCTGTGTTTTCTTCTGCTGAGGACTGAGGACAAACTGTGCATTTGCATGATTTTAGGTGTAATCTGTGGGGATTTGTAGTGAATTGCTGCTTTGAAAAAGGATGCAAAAGAGCAATAAAACTAACAATTTTGAAGACAGAATGATTGATTGTGCCACAAAATCAAAACTTAGTCATAATGGGGAAAAGGGGATAAAGAAATTCTTAAAGAAAGAAATGCAATGAAGAAACTACTTCAATAGAAATACAAAAGTAGAAATATCACCTTTGATTTAAACAAACAAACAAAAAAAGCTTTTCTTTCCCACCTTTCTCTAGCTCCACAGGGAAGAGCTCCAGTTTCTCCACCCTCTTCTCCAGCTCGTATTCTGCGGAGGAGGCCACAGGATCCACCTCCTCATTACGTCGGTCATAATCCTCATTGGAGTATGTATTGAACACCTGAAAAAGAGGTGCAAGGCTTTAACACTACGGAATGGGCACACATAATCAAATATAGCAGCTGGTACACATTACAGAGATAAAAAAGATAAAGGTCTAAAGATCCAACCATCACAGCAATATGGTGCTGGATATTTACAGTAATGTACAGTGTTATGATAGAGGGATAGATAGTTTAGGATGAACAAACTTTACAAAGCTATAATTTACCTACCAACAGTTCAAAAAATA